GTCGGATTGGGGCGTTGCCGGCCCAGTGGGCGATCAGTGCGCTGACACCGATCCGCAAGCCTGGTGCGGACCACCTGCGCTGTGACGGCTACCGCGGCATTGCCGTGGGCACACTGCCGGCCAAGCTGTTTGCCAGCATGCTTCAGAGCAGGTTTACAACCCACACTGAGGCGGCGGGCATTCGGGCATCTGGCCAGGCGGGGTTCCGGCCAGGGTACGGTTGCCGTGACCAGCAGCTTGCACTGCGAGCCATCATTGAGCGGCAGCGGGCGCGTGGGCAGCCGTTGTATGCCTGCTATGTGGACTTCAAGCAGGCCTTTGATAGGGTCCCGCGGCATCTGCTGTGGCAGAAGCTGGAGAGCGCCGGCTTGGGAGGCTGGGCGGTGCGGGCGGTGCAGGCCCTCTATGCGGCGGTTCCCATGTGCGTACGAGTGCCTGGTGGGTACACGCCCACATTTCAGGCCACCTCAGGGGTCAAGCAGGGCTGCCCCTTGAGCCCTATATTGTTCGGTCTGTTCCTGGATGACTTCGAGTCCGGGCTGGTGCAACAGGCTGCGGCCGCGGCTCTGCCTCGCTGGCAGAGCGGGGAGTGCGTGCCGCCATTATTTTACGCTGACGACCAGGCCCTGCTGGCCACCACGCCGGCAGGCCTGCGTTTCCAGCTTGGTTACCTTGAGAGCTACTGTGCCGCCTGGGGCCTGTCGGTTAACACCAAAAAGACCCAGGTGGTAGTGTACACCGCTGGCAGGGCTGCTGCCACGGAGGAGCGGTTCCGCTACGGCGGCAATGAGGTGGAAACCGTCCCCACCTTCAGATACCTCGGCGTGCACCTGCACTGCCGGCAGGCCTTTGCCTCGGCGGCATCGTATCGGGCGGAGGCTGGGCGGCGCGCGATGCACCTGCTGCGTCGCCGCCTGGCCGAGAATGGGTTGCAGGACCCCCTGCTCAGCATGCGTGCGTTCAAGTCTTACGTCCTGCCGACGTTGTCGTACGGGGCAGAGATCTGGGCGCCGCAG